CTCTCTCTCTCTCACCCTGTTACTACTCCCCCTCTCTCTCTCACCCTGTTACTACCCCCCTCTCTCTCTCTCACCCTGTTACTACCCCCCCTCTCTCTCTCACCCTGTTACTATCCCCCCCTCTCTCTCTCACCCTGTTACTATCCCCCCCCTCTCTCTCTCACCCTGTTACTACCCCCCCCTCTCTCTCTCTCACCCTGTTACTATCCCCCCCCTCTCTCTCTCACCCTGTTACTACCCCCCCTCTCTCTCTCTCACCCTGTTACTACCCCCCCCCTCTCTCTCTCTCACCCTGTTACTACCCCCCCTCTCTCTCACCCTGTTACTACCCCCCCTCTCTCTCTCACCCTGTTACTATCCCCCTCTCTCTCTCTCACCCTGTTACTACACCCCCCCTCTCTCTCTCACCCTGTTACTACCCCCCTCTCTCTCTCTCACCCTGTTACTACCCCCCCTCCTCTCTCTCACCCTGTTACTACCCCCCTCTCTCTCTCACCCTGTTACTACCCCCTCTCTCTCTCTCACCCTGTTACTACCCCCTCTCTCTCTCACCCTGTTACTACCCCCCCTCTCTCTCTCTCACCCTGTTACTACCCCCCTCTCTCCCTCTCTCACCCTGTTACTACCCCTCTCTCTCTCTCTCTCACCCTGTTACTACCCCCTCTCTCTCTCTCTCTCACCCTGTTCTACTACCCCCTCTCTCTCTCTCTCACCCTGTTACTACCCCCTCTCTCTCTCTCACCCTGTTACTACCCCCCTCTCTCTCTCTCACCCTGTTTACTACCCCCCTCTCTCTCTCTCACCCTGTTACTATCCCCCCCTCTCTCCCACCCTGTTACTACCCCCCTCTCTCTCTCACCCTGTTACTACCCCCCTCTCTCTCTCTCACCCTGTTACTACCCCCCTCTCTCTCTCACCCTGTTACTACCCCCCTCTCTCTCTCTCACCCTGTTACTACCACCCCCCTCTCTCTCTCACCCTGTTACTACCCCCCCCCTCTCTCTCACCCTGTTACTACCCCCCTCTCCTCTCTCACCCTGTTACTATCCCCCTCTCTCTCTCACCCTGTTACTACCCCCCCTCCTCTCTCTCACCCTGTTACTACCCCCCTCCATCTCTCTCACCCTGTTACTACCCCCCCTCTCTCTCACCCTGTTACTACCCCCCTCTCTCTCTCACCCTGTTACTACCCCCCCCTCTCTCTTCACCCTGTTACTACTACCCCCCCTCTCTCTCTCACCCTGTTACTACCCCCCCTCTCTCTCTCACCCTGTTACTACCCCCCTCTCTCTCTCACCCTGTTACTACCCCCCCTCTCTCTCACCCTGTTACTACCCCCCTCTCTCTCTCACCCTGTTACTACCCCACCCCCCTCTCTCTCTCACCCTGTTACTACCCCCCTCTCTCTCTCACCCTGTTACTACCCCCCTCTCTCTCTCACCCTCACCCTGTTACTACCCCCCCTCTCTCTCACCCTGTTACTACCCCCCTCTCTCTCTCACCCTGTTACTACTACCCCCCCTCTCTCTCTCTCACCCTGTTACTACCCCCCCCCCTCTCTCTCTCACCCTGTTACTACCCCCCCTCTCTCTCTCACCCTGTTACTACCCCCCCTCTCTCTCTCACCCTGTTACTACCCCCCCTCTCTCTCTCACCCCTGTTACCCCCCCTCTCTCTCTCACCCTACTACCCTTACTAACCCCCCTCTCTCTCTCACCCTGTTACTACCCCCCCTCTCTCTCTCACCCTGTTACTACCCCCTCTCTCTCACCCTGTTACTACCCCCCTCTCTCTCTCACCCTGTTACTAACCCCCCTCTCTCTCTCACCCTGTTACTACCCCCCTCTCTCTCTCACCCTGTTACTACCCCCTCTCTCTCACCCTGTTACTACCCCCCTCTCTCTCACCCTGTTACTACCCCCCTCTCTCTCACCCTGTTACTATCCCCTCTCTCTCACCCTGTTACTACCCCTCTCTGATATAAGTGCCCCCCCTGATGAGGCACTTGTATAAGATACTAGTATTCCCTAAATATTTCCCCTAAATCATTATTATAATTATTCCTATAATTTTTTTGGAGGGGGGTATTTTTTCTTGACTTCATTTCAACACATATTGACCTACAACTTTCACATATTGCAGTATGAATACCAAACAATGTTTATTAAATATACAAGTAAATTAATGAATTAGAACTACTTTATTCATTGTCAATAACTTCAAATTCAATTATCTCAAACTAGGTTTTCGACTTTCAACCGTATATAAAAATCCAGTTTCTGACCGATTCTCACTATTTTTACATATAGAATAGTGTGCACAACTGTCTTCTTAGAATCCTATAGAATGAATGCTTCATAAACCCTAAACGTTTGGAGTTATAATTTTTTGTCTAAATTTAGCACATACGTATTTCAAATGCCATTTTGACAATTTATTTTTTTACAGTAAACTACTGTATACTGAAAACCTATACAGTATTCTCAACTTAGAAAAATGAAGAACATACCTCAATAATGAGAGCATAACACCACCAAATGAACAATTGGCGACATTTAATATTTTTGCAACTGATTTGTAAATCTGAAAATTTCAATATTCAGTTTTATAATTATTTTAAATTTTCTTGTTTTTTCAAGTTGTTGGTGATCATTTAGACAAAGTTGGAGCATTTGCCTAGTAAATTATGCACAAAACATTTGAAAGAGTTTCAGCAAATTTTACAAACCGAGTGATATGTCCTGTCATTCATACATGTGTGTGTGTGTGTGTGTGTGTGTGTATATTTTATATATCTATATATCGATATATATCTATATATCTATATATCTATATATCTATATATCTATATATATATATATCTATATATATATATATATATATATATATATATATATATATATATATATATATATATATATATATATATATATATATATATATATATATATATATATATATATAATGTGTGTGCCTTGCATAGTTTAAGGGTTAAGTTGTACAAGTGATGTTTGGATTTACATTCCAGGTGGCGAGGGTCAAAGAGCTTTAAATATATTTGGGTTGTGAAAGTATCTGAATTTTCTTGGATTACCATTAATGCAGTATGTTTGGTATCTGGGAATGGATAGGGAAGGGGTGTCATAGAATAGTGTGGTTTATGTGGTTTTCAGTCTGAGGATCATATCATTGGGAGTTTGGTCCAACAGCTGGGGCGTTTCTTACTCTTAGGTCCCTTGGCTGTGTTTTGTGGCAAGGCAGTGTGAGGATAGTTTGGGCAAAGTTTAAGAGGTATTTGTTTAGAAGTTTGTCCAGTACCAGTTATATTGCCTTGTTTATGCCATTGGTTGTGTTTATTTGGATTTCACTTTGTGGATGTAGATGGGGCGTGTGTTGAGTTAGTCTCAGGGTTGGGTTGGATTTATCATGTTAAATATTAAGGAGTCAGTCCAATGTCTTTTCTATTACAGTACACTTCCAATGACGATTGTTAATGTTTGGATTAGGTCTGCATTTAATTGCAAGTTCTGTGGAAGTGTATTATTGTCAAGGGGTGAAAAATGGTTAGTGATGGGGCATTTGGTACATGCGAAGTTTACTGTTGGGCAATTGGTAGTGGTTAGTTAAAGGTTGAGCTGTGTTTCAGTGCACTATTGTATTGTATGTTGGTGTAGGAGAGAATCCTATTAGTGGCTTTTGCTGCTATGTATGAAGATCATTGTTTGGATTTCAGGTCTTACTTCAACCAGTCCTCTTAAAAATAACGTCGCCTTTCATTCGTATGCGTGCTATGACCAAAAATGGAAGTAATTTGAAATAAAATAGGCTCAGGAACGCGATGTACTCTTTTATACGTGATGAAAGTGATGTACTACCATTTTCTGTTAGAGTCCTCTGGCTTACTCAGTTAGGTTAGGAGAGAAAACTTTCAATTAACGGTTTTCATGACAATTTGAAACCTTAGGAAAATTTCCTGCCCTCCTAACCTACCAGAGGACCCTCAACTTGCTGTTGTAGAAAAAAAATCCAAAATTTATTTTCTATTTCTTTTTCATTTCGAATTACTGTGCATCCATTTTCGGCCATACTGGCAAGCAGCCAAATTCAAACAAACTGTAATTGTAAGAGGACAGGTTGCATAATTGCCCTCACAATTTGAAGATTTGAGAATATAATGGGGCCTCGACTTACGATGCTAATCCGTTCCCAGAGACAGATCGTAAGTCGAAATATCCTAAGTCGAAGAGATTTTTCCCGTAAGAAATAAAAGGATTTGGAGGCAGGTAGAGCCTCGCCTGGAGGCCTAGGAGGTAGGTAGAGCCTCGCCTGGAGGCTGAGAATGCCGGTAGAGCCTCGCCTGGAGGCCTAGGAGGCAAGTAGAGCCTCGCCTGGAGGCCTAGGAGGCAGGTAGAGCCTCGCCTGGAGGCCTAGGAGGCAGGTAGAGCCTCGCCTGGAGGCCTAGGAGGCAGGTAGAGCCTCGCCTGGAGGCCTAGGAGGCAGGTAGAGCCTCGCCTGGAGGCCTAGGAGGCAGGTAGAGCCTCGCCTGGAGGCCTAGGAGGCAGGTAGAGCCTCGCCTGGAGGCCTAGGAGGTAGGTAGAGCCTCGCCTGGAGGCTGAGAATGCCGGTAGAGCCTCGCCTGGAGGCCTAGGAGGCAGGTAGAGCCTCGCCTGGAGGCCTAGGAGGCAGGTAGAGCCTCGCCTGGAGGCCTAGGAGGCAGGTAGAGCCTCGCCTGGAGGCCTAGGAGGCAGGTAGAGCCTCGCCTGGAGGCCTAGGAGGCAGGTACAGCCTCGCCTAGAGGCCTAGGAGGCAGGTACAGCCTCGCCTGGAGGCCTAGGAGGCAGGTACAGCCTGGCCTAGGAGGCAGGTACAGCCTCGCCTAGAGGCCTAGGAGGCAGGTAGAGCCTCGCCTGGAGGCCTAGGAGGCAGGTAGAGCCTCGCCTGGAGGCCGAGGAGGGAGGTACAGCCTCGCCTAGAGGCCGAGAAAGACGGTAAAGCCTCACCTGGAGGAGAACAGTTGTGTTGATTTAGGGGCGAACCAGTGGGCCGTGGAACGTCAAGCGGTTTCAGTCCACAACTTTGTTTTGCTTTCACACGTCAGGTGACCTTCCGCCTCATCTGCTGTTCTCAGTATATAACTGCTGCTTATTTGCTGTTTATACTGAATTTCTGTGAATCATTAAAGTATTTTATCTTTTTATTTTGTTATATTCAAAGTGAGGGACAAGTTATTTATTTAATTTTAGTAATAGAAAAGTGACTAGCTTGCCAAAGTCAAGTCACTTCAGCACATTCGGATACATTATTTGTAATATTAACTGATAAGATTCAGTCATGGCATATAACGTAATATGGAAAGGATTATAACTTAAAAATAATAGTTAGAAAAGATTTTATGTTAACATTTATTGGATACTAGTAACTTGGTACAGAAGACCGACCACAGATATATTTTAACATTTCAGACACAAAATTTGTACGTTTCGCATTTTTTTCTTTATTAGCAAAATTAGGTATACACAGCAATGTGCTATTACCCTATTCTGTATGAGATATTACACAGTGTAGATCAAGAACTTGCTATAGGCTCAACTATTATTCTCATCTCACAGGATGGTTAGTCATACATGGACTCAGGAGAGCAAATACCAGCCTCACTACAAAAACAAATCAACTCTGAGGAGAGAACATGAAATGTAAGGCTGATATATTAGCCCAACTGGCAAAATCTGGAGAACAGCACAAGAATATCTTCCAATATTCCTGAGTGTATGAAGTAATTACAGAGCTCAAAGTACCTCATACCATTAGGTCTGAAGTCACTGATAACAGGACAGTCACAAATATAGTGTTGGGGAGCTCAAGAGCTCCCAGCTCTTGTTCACATAGTTTACAATTGGAATGTTCATCATTGGGGGCATTCATGACCTGCAGCCACCTGCCATAGATATCGATATTCCAACCTAATTCTGGCAGTTATAATATCACACTGTCTAGTGGATGTTTTATGCTGTCCGTACATATAATTCTCAGTTCTAAACATGTCATAGCTCTATATACTCGTGCTTTCTGGCCTTTGTGTGTCAGTGACTTCTCTCCTGTATTCCCTAATTTCTTGAAATATTGCAGCTTTAACAGCAGAAATTAGAATGCCCAGATATAACTCAATTTCCGGCTTATCACATGCAGTTTTAGCTGCCTTGTCTGTGTCATCATGCAGGACAACACCTGTGTGAGATGGTATCCATGCAAATGAGACTGAAACTGTTGCACTTTGCATTAATAATGTTGTTTATAATGGATGTTGCAACATTCCTAGTGTCTATTTTGCATGCTGGGGTTTGAAGTGCTTGAAGAGCTGACTTTGAATCACAGAAAATTATTCCTCAGCTGTTCTTCAGTGTGTTAGTAGCAAGTTGTAGTGCAGCTAATATGTGTGTGTGAAGCTAAGCCAGTTATCCAGTCTCACACTTGTGGTCTGTGTACATGTGTTGTCTACGAACCAAGGCCAAAGCGCTCGCGAAACGCCGGGCGAGTGTCTTACCACTACTGTTAAAGGTACATGCAAGAGTTCTTACATTTTTGTACAGCCACTAGCACGCATAGTTTTGGGCATGTCGTTAATCCGAATTTTCACACACACACACACACACACACACACACACACACACACACACACACACACACACACACACACACACACACACACACACACACACACACACACACACACACACACACACACACACACACACACACACACACACACACACACACACACACACACACACACACACACACACACACACACACACACACACACACACACACACACACACACACACACACACACACACACACACACACACACACACACACACACACACACACATTCACACACACACACAAGGGGCATTCTACGACCAGGTGACAAAGATAGGGCTGAAAGATAGCAAGAAAGATAGGGCTGGGCGAACTGCATTTTCTTGGATTGTCGGAAAGCCTTTTGACACAGTACCGCATAAGAGGCTTGTACATAAGCTGGAGAGACAGGCAGGTGTAGCGGGGAAAGTGCTCCAGTGGATAAGGGAGTACCTAAGCAATAGGAAGCAGAGAGTTACAGTGAGGAGCGAGACCTCAGATTGGCGTGAAGTCACCAGTGGAGTCCCACAGGGCTCTGTACTCGGTCCTATCTTGTTTCTGATATATGTAAATGATCTCCCGGAGGGTATAGATTCATTTCTCTCAATGTTTGCGGACGATGCCAAAATTATGAGAAGGATTAAGACAGAAGAGGACTGTTTGAGGCTTCAAGAAGACCTAGACAAGCTGAAGGAATGGTCGAACAAATGGTTGTTAGAGTTTAACCCAACCAAATGTGATGTAATGAAGATAGGTGTAGGGAGCAGGAGGCCAGATACAAGGTATCATCTGGGAGAGGAAATTCTTCAGGAGTCAGAGAAATAAAAAGACTTCGAGGTTGATATCACGCCAGACCTGTCTCCTGCAGCACATCAAGAGGATAACATCAGCGGCATATGCCAGGCTGGCCAACATAAGAACAGCATTCAGAAACTTGTGTAAGGAATCATTTAGAACTTTGTATACCACATATGTCAGGCCAATCCTGGAGTATGCAGCCCCAGCATGGAGTCCATATATAGTCAAGGATAAGACTAAACTGGAAAAGGTTCAAAGGTTTGTCACCAGACTAGTACCCGACCTGAGAGGTATGAGCTACGAGGAGAGACTACGGGAATTAAACCTCACTTCGCTGGAAGACAGAAGAGTTAGGGGGGACATGATCACCACATTCAAGATTCTGAAGGCAATTGATAGGGTAGATAAAGACAGGCTATTTAACACAAGGGGCACACGCACAAGGGGACACAGGTGGAAACTGAGTGCCCAAATAAGCCACAGAGATATTAGAAAGAACTTTTTTAGTGTCAGAGTGGTTGACAAATGGAATGCATTAGGAAGTGATGTGGTGGAGGCTGACTCCATACACAGCTTTAAGTGTAGATATGATAGAGCCCAATAGGCTCAGGAACCTGTACATTAGTTGATTGACCGTTGAGAGGCGGGACCAATGAGCCAGAGCTCAACCCCCGCAAGCACAAGTAGGTGAGTACAATTACGTGAGTACACACACACACAGAAACGATGGGCAGAGTTTCTTTCACCCTATGCCCATGTTACCTAGCAGTAAATAGGTACCTGGGAGTTAGTCAGCTGTCACGGGCTGCTTCCTGGGGTGTATGTGTGGTGTGGGGGGAAAAAACGTAGTAGTAGAAACAGTTGACTGACAGCTGAGAGGCGGGCCGAAAGAGCAGAGCTTAACCCCCGCAAGCACAACTAGGTGAATGCACACACACACACACACACACACACACACACACACACACACACACACACACACACACACACACACACACACATGACTTTTGTTAGGCCAAAGCTAGAATATGCAGCTGTTGTGTGGTGCCCATATCTTAAGAAGCACATCAACAAACTGGAAAAGGTGCAAAGACATGCTACTAAGTGGCTCCCAGAACTGAAGGGCAAGAGCTACGAGGAGAGGTTAGAAGCATTAAATATGCCAAAACTAGAAGACAGAAGAAAAAGAGGTGATATGATCACTACGTACAAAATAGTAACAGGAATTGATAAAATCGACAGGGAAGACTTCCTGAGACCTGGAACTTCAAGAACAAGAGGCCATAGATTTAAACTAGCTAAACACAGATGCCGAAGAAATATAAGAAAATTCACCTTCGCAAATAGAGTGGTAGACGGTTGGAACAAGTTAAGTGAGAAGGTGGTGGAGGCCAAGACCGTCAGTAGTTTCAAAGCGTTATATGACAAAGAGTGCTGGGAAGACGGGACACCACGAGCGTAGCTCTCATCCTGTAACTACACTTAGGTAATTACACTTAGGTAATTACACACATTAAATATGCCAAAACTAGAAGACAGAAGAAAGAGGTGATATGATCACTACGTACAAAATAATAACAGGAAATGATAAAATTGATAGGGAAGATTTCCTGAGACCTGGAACTTCAAGAACAAGAGGTCATAGATTTAAACTAGCTAAACAAAGATGCCGAAGAAATATAAGAAAATTCACTTTCGCAAACAGAGTGGTAGACAGTTGGAACAAGTTAGGTGAGAAGGTGGTGGAGGCCAAAACCGTCAATAGTTTCAAAGCGTTATATGACAAAGAGTGCTGGGTAGACGGGACACCATGAGCGTAGCTCTCATCCTGTAACTACACTTAGGTAATTACACACTCTGGACCTAAAAAAGGCTTTCGACAGAGTTCCACATATGAGGTTGTTCTGGAAACTGGAAAATATTGGAGGGGTGACAGGTAAGCTTCTAACATGGATGAAAAATTTGCTGACTGTTAGAAAAATGAGGGCAGAAATCAGAGGCAATGTATCGGACTGGAGAAATGTCACAAGTGGAGTACCACAGGGTTCAGTTCTTGCACCAGTGATGTTTATTGTCTACATAAATGATCTACCAGATGGTATTCAGAACTATATGAACATGTTTGCTGATGATGCTAAGATAATAGGGAGGATAAGAAACTTAGGTGATTGTCATGCCCTTCAACATGACCTGAACAAAATAAGTATATGGAGTACCACTTGGCAAATTGAATTTAATGTGAATAAATGCCATGTTATGGAATGTGGAACAGGAGAACATACATCCCACACAACCTATAAATTATGCGAGAAATCTTTAATGATTTCTGATAAAGAAAGAGATCTAGTGGTGGTTCTAGATAGAAAACTATCACCTGAGGACCACATAAAGAACGTTGTGCGAGGAGCCTAAGCTACGCTTTCTAACTTCAGAATTGTTTTATTTATTTATTTATTTATTTATTTATTTATATATATATACAAGAAGGTACATTGGGATTGTGAGGATACATAGCATTGTAATTACATTCTTGTAAAGCCACTAGTACGCGCAGCGTTTCGGGCAGGTCCAATCTAAGAAAATCTTAAGTAGGTAAATACTAGCAAAATTTATAAAAATAACAGTTACATAGCAAGAAAAAAATAAAAGATAAGAGAAAATTGTAGGTATATTAAAGCACATAGGTAGCTCAGATTGATTGCAATGTCAGCTAGAATGGTAGTTTAACAAAAATTAGTACAAAAAACTTCAACAAGATCTTGTAGATCTGAGGCAAAGTGAAATTGACACCAGTAATTCCATCTATCATCATACTATCATGCAAGAGGAGCCACACATCTATGGATCATCCAATAAAATCAGCAGACTTCTAGATGTTACTACTGCTCGGCTTAGACGCGGTTACAAGTATCTCTGGGAATTCTCATTATCTACCGATGTAGACCTGACCAAATGTAAACTGTGTCAACAAAATTATTCGCACACCCTCCGTCACTATGTGATGGAGTGCGAAAAGATACGTGAATTTAGAGACAATTCTATAACCAATGTACCAACGATGTGTAAATATTTCATTCAAAATTATCTGCTACCAGAAATTTTAGCCAACTATCCCCAGTTTGCTAACTGTAGGTAGTTACTGAGTGATTGTAACCTATGGATATAACCCCCCACTGGATGGGGGGCGGTGTGCAGGACAAACATATCAATTGTGACACTAGCTCTCCACATATGTCAGTTGCTTAATTTAAAACCTGTACTTGAGGTCGATCTCGAACCCATTGTTGATGTGACGACTTATATTAAATTTTGTAACTAGCTCATCAAGATTGTAACTTGCTTAGCTAAATGAATTATGGGGTTCAGTCCCTGAGCCCAATATGTGCATCTGTAACCCTTTCCACTACCGCCCACGGGATGGGTATGGGGTGCATAATAAATGAACTAAACTAAACTCCTACACTACCCATAAACATTGGCGTTCCACAGGGCAGCATGCTTGTCCTTCTCCTCTTTCTCATCTACATTAATGACCTTCCGAATGCCTCTCAACACCTCAAACCAGTCTTATTTGCTGACGACACAACCTTCATTTTCTCCAGTCCTGACCCGCTTGCTCTAAATGTCACTGTGAATACTGAACTAAATAAAGTCCATCTTTGGATAACTGCCAACAAACTCACCCTTAACATTGACAAAACTTTCTATATTTTGTTTGGTAATAAATCCTCAAATAAAATTAATCTAAGAATAAACAATATACAAATCAGTAGTAAAGTTGATGGTAAATTCCTTGGTGTCCTCATCGATAACAAACTGAATTTCCAGGGACACATTCTAAATATAGCAAAAAAAGTTTCTAAAACTGTTGGCGTTCTCTCTAAGATCAGATATTATATTCCTCGCCCTGCCCTGGTGACTCTCTATTACTCTCTCATCTATCCTTATCTCAACTATGGTATTTGTGCTTGGGGTTCTACTACCCAAAATCATTTACGTCTTCTAATTACTCAACACAAAGCTTCTATTAGAACAATATCCAACTCTGGCCCCAGACATCACTCGGTACCCTTACTCAAATCTCTGAATATGTTAGATATTGTCACTGCACATCCTCTCATGTGTACTCTATATATTTAAAACTCTGAATTGTAATGCCAATCCTGACCTTAAAGCTTCCTAGAAGGTTGTAACAGAACCCATGAGCACCACACCAGAAACAAATACCTATTTGATATTCCAAGAGTACGACTTAATCAAACTAGAAATGCTCTACAAATCAAGGGACCCAGAATGTGGAATGACCTTAATCATGTCAGAGGCTGTACCTCTCAACCAGTTTAAGATGAAAACTAAGCACTACCTAATTAACCTTACCCCTAAATGTCAACCTATGTCTTACTATTTTTAAACAATGCTGTTTGTTGACCAACTTGTATATTAGCTATTTTCTACCATATTCCCCCCCCCCCCTTCTTTTATCATTTATTTTATTTTTTTTCAACGCAATTTATACTTTAAGCTCAATTACTATTAAGTTTTAGTTAGTTTAGTTCATTTATTATGCACCCCATACCCATCTTGTGGGCGGTAGTGGAAAGGGTTACAGAGGCACATAATGGGCTCAGGGACTGAACCCCACAATTCATTTAGCTAAGCAAGTTACAATCTTGATGAGCTAGTTACAAAATTTAATATAAAGCGACATATCAATTGTGACACTAGCTCTCCACATATGTCAGTTGCTTAATTTAGAACCTGTACTTGAGGTCGATCTCGAACCCATTGTTGATGTGACGACTTAATTAAGTTTTAGTCTGTTTTTTCCCCACCTCACCTTGCCCGAAACGTTATGCGTACTAGTGTCTTTAGGTATTGTATGTACTACCTCTATCTATAAATCCAACATTATGTTTGTAAATCAACTATGTATGTACTTTCCTGAATAAAATTTACTTTACTTGACTTTACTTACTAACTTTTATTGCCTCGTTTTTGGTAATTTTATTGTCTTGGAAGACGATAGGGGCCGGTGGCTGAGTGGACAGCGCTTGGGGCACAAATCCTATGGCCTGGGGATCAATCCCCAGCTATGGAGGAAACAAATGGACAGAGTTTCTTTCATCCTAATGCACATGTTCACCTAGCAATAAATAGGTACCTCAGAGTTAGACAGCTGTTACAGGCTGCTTCCTGGGTGTGTGTATGAAAAAAAGTTGACTGACAGTTGAGAGGCGGGACCAAAGAGCCAGAGCATAACCCTCGCAAGCACAATTAGGTGAGGCGAGGACGAGGACAGCAGCGAACACAAGGCAGCGCACATGTGTAGACGAAAGGGTTGGTGTATACGAAGTTGTCTCTGTACCGAACCGAGGGTATTGGAAACAGTTATGAACGAATCGAGGAGGGTCGTGGAGAGCCAGGTGACCGGCGCCACAACCACGGTACCACCCGTGTCCCGGGCTCACAGTACGGTACCACCCACACCAGTACACCCTCCCCCGGGCTCACCGTAGCCCCTGTGACTGGTGCTCCCAGCAGCTGACTCTTCAACACGAGGGAGAAGCAGCCACCGTGAGTGACAATGGGGCTGGGCTTGAGGATGCTACTGAAGAGAGTTGGAGTGTTGAGGAACGTGTCAACACGGTGAGTTGTAGCCAGGGCTCAAGTGATTACCTCACTGTACCTGACACCCACTATCACTAGTGGACTCCACCAGAACAGGAAGCCGACGGCTTGTCGAAGGTCACCCCCTATTTGCCTTGATGATCTTTTCCAAGTGTACTTTAAAAGTTAAGAGAGTTTTGTCATTGATGGGTTGGGCGGGTAGGCGGTTCCGTGGGTTAATAACTACCTCTTATTTAAACTTCACCAATATGGATCCCAAGGCCTTGCCCTGAACTATATTCGATCCTATCTTAGCGACAGACACCAATATGTAGCCATCAATGATATAACTTCCCCACTCTACCATTAACTGTAGGAGTGCCACAGGGCAGCATCCTAGGACCTCTCCTATTTCTTATATACATCAGTGATCTGCCTAATGTCTCTAACATTCTTAAACCTATACTATTTGCTGACGATACTACCTTCATCTACTCGCACCCCAACCCATACACACTAAATAAATAATGTAAATAACTAAATTAAAAAAAAAGTCTTAATGAACTAACAAACTCACACGAAACATAGAAAAGACCTACATACATTCATTTTATTTAGAAGCAAATCAACAAATGCAATTCAGCTTCAGATAGACAATGTTAACATCAGCAATAAAAATGATGGAAAGTTCCTTGACCTATACATAGACAAGAGACTCAACTTCAGCACCCACATACAACACACAACCAAAAAAACTAAAAAATGGTCGGTATACTTTCTAAAATCAGATACAATATTATGTTCCAAACTCTGCTCTCCTCTCATTATACTATGCACTAATCTGTCCCTATCTTGCATATGGTATCTGTACATGGGGTTCAACCACTGCAAACTACCTCAAGCCTGTCATCACCCAACAAAAATCTGCTATCAGAACAATAACAAACTCTGTTTTCAGACAACACACAGCCCCCCTGTTTAAATTCTAAACATGCTAAACATAAACTCACTCCACACATTCTCTTGTGCCATTTACATGTACAAATCCTTGTTCCTAGATGCAAATCCTGATCTGAAACTCTAACTTCACAGATGTAATAGCACCCATAATCACTACACCAAAAATAAATATTTTTTAGATAGCCCCAAACTAAATCTGTGTAAAAACTATGCAAATAAAGGGACCTAGTCTATGGAACTCTCCCTAATGAATTAAAAAGCTGTCCAACCTATGCCTTGTTCAAAAGTAAAACCGAAAAGTACCTAATTTTATCCTCATAGTTTCCTACCTCGTGCTTCAGAACTCGCACTGCATCTTGTGCTACCCACTTCCCCAATATATGTGCCTAAGCCATACAACTTCACCATTGTAATCACTGCCAACATCTTGTATCATGGTTGTTATGTTGAATGCAAATTTTACTACAATATACTGTACCTAGAAATAATCCTCAAATTATGCTACAATGTACCTGTTGATAATCCTCAAATTTTACTATAATGTACCTACTAATTTTCTTCAAATTTTCTTACAATGTACTTGTTAACATTTTAAAATTTTGCTAGAAATTATCTACTTAAAGTTTTCTGTTAGATTAAGGACCTGCCCAAAATGCTATGCATGTTAGTGGCTTTACAAGAATGTAAAAACATCAAGGCTATGTACTCTCATAAACCCAATGTACCTTCTTGTATATATAAAGTATAAATAAATAAATAAATACTTTCCCCAGGCTCTAGTTATTTCTTGTAATATAATAGAGTCCATCTGTAAAAACATGACAAATGTGACTGGAACCATTTTGAGTTATCATTCATACTCTAATATTTCCCACTCTTTGGGTTGATTTCACTGGTTTAAATTTTAATTTCAATCTGTCATATGAAGGGCAACAGCCAAGAGAACCTGTATGTAAAAAGACTACTCCAACTAGTATTTTTCCCATGGCCGAGCCTCAAAATCTTATTCTCAAAGGATTAAAGACCCATATTTAACTGAGCAAAAACCTCTGCAACTGTAAATAAAAAGGAATTGCAAAATTTGGTTTTAAATATACCCAGTTGCTTTCCCAAGCTCCAGCTATTTCTTGCATTGTTGCCTCTATCTGTAAACTCGGTCCCAATATCCTATGCAAATTCACACCACCTCTGCTTCAGCGAACTCTTGTTTGTTGAATTGGTTGAGTAAATCTGGTCTGGAAAGAGCGTGTTCCAGTCAGAGATTCGCTGAATCAGGATTATTTGAATCGTGGTACCACTGTATTATGTGTGCCATAATAGACAGCCCTCATCTTGCATGGGGATTACATTCTTGCAAAAACATCACAAATCAAACTTGATAGTACAATATATCACCCAACCCAGAAATGAGTGAAATACTGAGGCTCCAGTACGATTCTTTCTTCAGTGAACCCCTGAACACATTGAAGATCAATGATCTAAACAAGTTCTATGTGAATCACCACCATCGAACCATATATCAAAGGTCATCCTGACCTCATTGGACTTTAAAGTAGCCGTACATAGCAATCATCTTGCATCAGGCCCAGACTTCTGGAATTCTATAATCATCAATAATTGCAAAACATCACTATCACAGGGCCCCTAAATATATTTTTGAAGACAGAGCCTAGATACTGGTGTTATTCCTGACATACTTAATTTAAAACGCCAATCATGTCATTTCACAAGGGGGTAGTAAAGCGGATGCAAAAAACTATAGACCAATAGCTAATATCACACATCATAAAAATATCTGAAAGCATGCCAAGTACAGTAGTAATATCACAAAACAGGGAATCACAGTATCTACACAACCCTGGCCAACATTGGTTCTGGACAGGGCACTCCTGCCCCTTTCAGTTGCTACACCACTATGGCATGGGTTTAGATGTCAAGGAAGACAAACAAAGTGCCAAATGTAATACTGTATACACAGTTTTTGCAAAAGTTTTCAACAAATGTGACCTTGATGATATTACACAAAAGGAATTATAGTACTGCATAGTAGGGATATGGATCTTTAACTTCCTAATGACCAGAACCCAGAGTGTTAGTCAGCAAAGTAAAATCTGGATTTTCCACCATGAAAAGTTCAGTTCCCCCAAAGTATTGTACCTACTCTAGTACTTTTTCTCATCCTCATATTAGACATAGACAAGGATACAAATTATAGTACTGTATCAGCCCTTGCAGACGGTGCTAGATTTTTATAACAGTAGACACTAAAGTAGACACAGCAAACCTCCAATCAGATGTTAATAGTCATTCAGTGGGCCACAGAAAATAATATGTTTAATGAGGATAAGTTCCAGTTACTGCACTATGGAAAAAACGAAAATATCAAAACAGAAACTGCACATTAAATGCAAACCACACTGTTGAAAAAAAAGCCATTTAAAAGATTTTGGAATAATCATGTTGAAAGACTTTACTTTTAAAGAACACAACAAAGTAACTGTCACAGCTGCAAGGAAAATGACAGTTTGGGTAATGAAACCCTTTCAATGAGATCCCATGCCAATGATACATTTTAGCACAGTAGTACTCTCTGGAATGGAAAATTGTTAAACTCTTAGCACCTCATTCAAAGCTGGCAAAATTGCTGATCTGGAGAGCATGGAAAGATCTTTTACTATTATAATCCACTTGTTAAATTGTCTAAATTATTGGGACTCCCCCTACAAATTTTATATCTGTATTCCGTACAGTGCAGGCAGGAGAGAAACATAATAATGTACACTTGGAAAATGCTAGCAGAACTGGTTCCAAATCTACACATAGAAATAACACCATGAGACCAGAAGGCAAAATAGCCCATTGAAAAGCAGAGAGGCAATATGCATGCTAAGAGAGAACTCTGTCAACATCAAAGGCCCAAGACTTTTCAACTCTCTCCCTCTACACATGCGGAGCATAACTGGCCAACCTCTTGCAGTGTTCAAAAGAGAACGTGACAAACCCCTTCAAAGGATACCTGATCAACAAAGTTATGAATCATACGTCAGGCTGCAAGCAGTCGCATCGAACAGCCTGGTTGACTAGACTACCAACCAGGAGGCCTGATTGAAAAATGAAGATGAAGAATTTTCAGAAGGATTTTCCTTTTGAAAATGAAGGAACTGGTGATGTTCGGTCTGTGCTGGACAATCATCAAATTGTCCATGACAGACAAAAATGTTATTACCACCTTTACTTTCAGATTCGTGGGTTGGATGTCTAAATTTTCTGTGCACGGGTCGTGTTCTCATAAGGAACATCGGCCGTTTCACGGTTTTCCCCATTGACGGGGCGATGGTGGGGAGGCTTGCTCTGTTCGCTCGTGTCTGGTCTCACGATTTGTGGGCCTTTCGGGTCGTTTCCAACAGCCTGTGGTGTAGCCCCCCTCCCTCTTTTGGAGGGTTCGGGGCTGACAAGGCAGGCCTCTTCTCCTGCGCTCTGTTGGGTCATCTCAGAGTGGGTGCGCTTGGGCGTGGTTAAAACGATGACCTCTCTCGGGTGGGTTTCCCGTCTAAACCCCTGGGTTTCTTGCCCCTTCTTTCAGATGACTACTCTGTCTCAGGTCCATCTTCTGTTGAAGCCGGGTGCTTGGATGATGTCCCTGGACCTCAAGGACGCATATTAGCACGTCCCAATTAATCTGGGGTTAAGGTACTGACTCTGTTTTGTTGTGGGGCGTCTCGGTTACCGTTTTTGTTGTCTCCTGTTCGAGTTGAACCTGGTCTTCACATATTCACACCCTCTTACCCGGGTCGTGGTGGCCCGTCTGCATCTTTTAGGTGTTTGGGTGTTGGCCTACCTCGATGACTGGCTGGTCTGGGCTTCCTGTTGGTCCACATGTCTGCTCGCCAGGGATTTGGTTCTTTGCTAGGTTCGGGTTCCTGGTGAACTGGAGGAAGTCCCATCAGGTCCCCTCCCAGGTTCTGACTTGGCTGGGTGTTGTGCGTGACTCTCGGACCTCTTCCTTGTCTCTCCCTCCAGTCTCTCTTCTTCAGCTGCAGTCCCGCATGTGCTTGTTTCTGGGGGGCTCCTGTGTCACCCGGCAGTTGCTCGAGAGTTTGTGCAGGAGCTTGAACTTTGCAATGATGGTCTACCTGCTGGGTCGGGTTTGGCTTCATCAGCTGTTTGGGTTCCTTCAGGAACATCCCTTCCGCCTATCTCGCAATCGCTGGGTTCGATCCCCAGGGGCCTTGCGTCTCCTGCTGCATCGCCGACTTCCTTTTCGGGTTTTTCGGGGTTCAGTGCCTTGGCGCCTACCCGAGCCCTTGCTCGGTGTTCACGGCCTCTGGTGGTCGAATCGGGGAGCTTTATGCTCTCCTCCGGCGCAGGGGTTTCTGCTCTTTTGGTCAAGGTGTTGGGTTTGTTCGGTTGCAGCCGTCTGCTTCTTTTCTGGCAAAGTATGAGACCGCTGGGTTCTGGAGGCCTGGGTTGTTGATGCTTGATTGGTCAGGCCGGGGATGCATCATGTGTTTTGTCTGGTTGCGGCTCTCCTCCGTTATTTGTGCACCACGGCCTCTGTGACTGGGGATGCATCATGTGTTTTGTCTGGTTGCGGCTCTCCTCCGTTATTTGTGCACCATGGCCTCTGTGACTGGGGACCCTAATTCCCTGTTCCAAGGTTCGGGTCTCAGGTCTTCTGCAGGGTTATTAGGTCCAGCCAGCCTGCTGCCTATCCCCGCACCCATGACATTCATAAGCTTGCTGCACTTGCGGCCATCTTCAGTAACATGTCTTTGGCTGACATTTAGACACTGGATTTTTGACGGTCGAACAAGGTCTTGGTTGAACGTTACCTTGTAAATGTTCCTGTGCCTAGTCGGGCCTGTGTCACTTTGGGTTGGCGGTTGCAGCCCATTGTCTCAACTTCGAGTTGAGGAGCGAGTGCTGACCACCTCCTGGGTAAGTCCCTCTTGTTTTTGTCTTCTGTAATTCAGCTCGGAGGAGCCGAAGAAACTCCTCCCTCGAACACCAGTGTTGAATGTAATGAAACTCCATTTTCTGGGTGAGACCTGGAGGCTCCCAGGAAACCCTCACTTCCCCCAGTCGGCATTTTTTTGCGTGTTTTCACATCCAGCCTTGAACTGACAGGTGGATAGTTGACGCGAGGGGTCTGTGGCTCCCCCTTCTCCCTCCTGGGAAGGGGCAAGCTGCACAGACAAGCGGCGCAGCAAGTGTGAAGTCATGCTCATTTTTCACTTGGAGAGTTCTGTCCACTTGTTAGCTTTCAGTAGTAGTTTTAACCAGAATAGGGGTTTGTTTTGAGGTGCTTATCTTTTTGAGTGTCCGGCCCAGTCGATGGCAGACACAGAATGCTCCAAACACATGTGCATTTCTGTTGGCTATTGCTCCTCGTGCCTCTCTGAGGGGGGCCAGGTTCTGGCTCGTGGTCCCTGGTAGGCCTAGAACGTCATTCACATTGACCGATGACACAGTCTAATAATAATCATATCGGGCTGGATAGCTCCGGGAAGCCTCCGGGTCTCACCCAGAAAATGGCATTTCATTACATTTAACGCTGGTTTTATTTCCATAATTAGACATTACCCCCCCTGTAAGTATTATTATGTACAGTATTATATTTTTATGTATGGTCATGTATGCAATGAAAACAACCATTTTTCTTCAGGCTCCATTCCACTGCAACCCCAAAGGAAGAAACCCATGCTAGTCCTCTTGTTGGAGATGAAGGAGCTGGCAAACACCTGAAGATCACTGCACAAAACACTCGGATTCCTCTTATTGCTCCAGCAGTTGTAACAGACATAAGACCATTGTCTCCTACAGTGCACGGACTCACACTTAAAGTGGATAACCCAAATTTCACATTCAAAGCTGGACAATGGTAATTAAAAAAACAGTATTGATTCCCTAACTATTTTTCAGTGTGTGTGATGTAAGTAGGGAGTAACTCCACTGCTCATCATGTCATACAATTGACCCTGCATCCTCTATAGTTCCCATTGTTGGGGGGACAGGACGCCTATGCTTAAACTTAATGTGGTCTTACTAGGCCAACTACTGACCATCCCCATGATGCAACCCCCCCCCCCCCTCCTTCCAACCCCACACACAAAATTTCAACTAAATATATGCTAAATATATTGGACATAATCTTACCAAGGCCAACATGTAAGCCATAAATACTCATCTCCTGCATAAGTAAGATGGAAAGGAGCAACATTTAGTGGGCTAGTCTGATGCTTAGGGGCCTTTGCATGGATATCTACTTATTGACGATTTTGGGGATCAGTGTTCTCACGGCCCGGTCTCTGACCAGGCCGCTTGATTGCTGGTTGGATCAACCAGGCTGTTCAATGTCAGGCTCTTATGTCAGACTCACAGCCTGGTTGATCAGGTATCCTTTGAAGGTGATTGTCGAGTTCCCTTTTGAACGCTGTGAGAGGTCGGCCAGTTATGCCCCAAATGTGTAGGAAAAGAGTGTTGAAAAGTCTTTGGCCTTTGACGTTGATCGAGTTCTCTTTTCAGTGTGCCTATGCACCTTTGCTTTTCGCTGGGGCTACAGTATTTTGCACATCCTGCCATGCCTTCTGGTCTCATGTGATGTTATTTCTGTGTGCAGATTACGAACCAGTCCTGACATTTTCTAAGTGTTGATTATATGTATCTCGCCTGCCTGGGCTCTAGGAAATACAGATGTAATATTCCTGAGAAAAATAACACACAGCTTGGAAAGTCAGATATGCTAGTCAGAAAGTTTAGCCTTAAAGTCCTTTGACACAATTCAAGTAGGTCATGATTTTACACAAATATTTTAATGAAAGGTTTCCAAAACATGCCAGCATATCACATGGGTATGATCTCTAACCAGGCCTCCTGGTGGTCTACATTATATTATTCTGTACAGTGGACTCCCATTTGAGCAAAATGTGTTTCTCCAGAAAGCTGGATGTGACAATTCAATGATTGCTGCTGAGTGACCTCGGTTCTACCAGAAAATATGGAAAGTTCCTGTCAAGGGAGCTTGTGTGCGCTGTATTTGTGTACCTGAACTCAAGATGCACATACTGTATACAGAATATAATCTAATACTGTACACTAAAAAATACATTTTTTAAACCACTATGAGTAAGTATTATTCAGTTGAGGTTCGAGTTTGGCATGGCAAGGTATCATAAGTGTTATGACAATGAATTTGGGACCATATCTTTAAATGCTGGTTTTTAACCAGTTAATACAAATGTGGTATAGAAAATCTTGACCTAGAGAAACTATTTGAGATGTTGAAACATAATTGGTCTGCTTAGTAAATAAATATATAGATGGTTTTCATTTGAAAACGGCTGAGTTTTGTTTAGCAAAGGGGGGCCAAGACATCTACATTCTTGACTCGCAATCAAAGGATCTGGATTCAATTTCCATTCAGGTTAGAAACAGTTGGGCACATTTCCGTTCATCTGATGACTCGATAACCCCAGGTACAGGCTTCCTGCCCCTGACAACAGAATGAACTGTAAAATCAACTTTTTGTTTCAATATTCATCAAATAATGGGTATAAATTAAGATCTTGCATAATATATGCTCCTAAAAATATAACTATAAAGTGCAGGGGAAAATAAAAGGTTAATGAAAAGTTGGTATATATTTTGATTATGTATACCACCACTGGTGCAATTGTGAGGACCCATAACCTTTGAGAAAAGGAAAATAAAGGCATGCAGAAAAGTGGTGGCACAGTGGTAACACACCTTGCACCTCGTGAGTGATTTGTCTAGGTTTGAGTCCTGGCCAGGGAGGATTGTGGGTGTCAATCCTTAACTGTTTACCTCTATTCACCCAGCAGTAATTGGGTTCCTGGTTGATAACTTATTGATGGGTCATGTTCCAGGGAAAACTAGTAGGGTAAGGCTTACTATGAGCTATGGGAAGGGAAAGCTCGCAGCCTGCTAACAGGAGTCAGCAGTCGTCTGCTCCTGTACCCTCCTGTGTGTAAAACTAGTAGGGTAAGGCTGTTGTAATCCACAAGTTAGTAAGAATTATTAGCTTGAGGATCATTACTGCAACACTTAACGAATGATGATTGAAAGTACATGTAAGTAGACAGACTATGGATCACATATCTAAGAAAGGTCAATGGATTAAGACCGAAGCTGTTTAGCCAAATTAATAATTCCTGGAAAGAGGAATTATTCTTCATCAGGCTTCTAGGAACAAGGTTACCGCTCTAGGGATAAGGTTAATCGGATAATACCTTCCTCAAGAGGCGTGGTGAAATGATTGAGGCCATGGTTGGCTGGAGTCAGTCTGGTTGTGGAAGTTGAACTAGCAAGTCCTTTGGATCCCCGTTTGCGGCAGCAGCGAAGTGTAGCAGACAGCTATGCGAGAACCTGTTGTGATCTTAGTGACCAAGTTAAGTCTGCAGTATGTGAGTATTGAATGTAAGACTAACCGGGTGTGGAGCGTTGTAGTAATCATTCCGTATTAGGGACTTAGGCGGAAGTTACGAGTGTGGGTGGTGATCGCGGAGGTCAAGTGGTCTATGGGTATTGGAAGTGTATTGACCTAATAGAGTATGTTAATTAATATAGTATTATTTGTCAGAGTCTATTCTTTGTAATTAAATGACAAAACCCGACGGCCTTTAAAGACCTTCCATCTGTCCCCTCATAGTGTTCCTGGTTTGGTTGGTGAGGGAATGTTAGGGAATTGGTAGACGACATATTTGGTGGCAGCGCAAACAGGTTTTGGAACACTGTGCGAGATGAAGAAAGTGTGGTTCTGGTTTAGTTGGTGAGGGAATGTTCGGGAAATGGTAGACGTCGGGTTGTGGTGAGAATGGGGGTTACTAGACGGAGGAAAGAAGGGTCAGGTGAGACCAGGGCAGAGGAGTTAGTTAATTAAAGGGACTAGGCCATTGTGGGGCACATGTGGGGTTTATTTCTTTCTTTCCAGATTCCCGCAACGAGAGACGGCTAAGAGGCAAGTCTGGACCACTGAAGCATCGGGATCCAAAACAAGTGCAGTGTTCGTAGTGCGGATTATACAGTGTTCGTAGTGTGGATTATACAGTGTTCGCAGTGCGGATTGTACAGCGTGGCGAGGTAAACTAGCGCGGGTGAATGTGGGCCAGCGTAGGCCATGTGCGGGCCAAGCGATGGGTGGGCCAAGCGAGCCGCACCTTGGAGCTTGTTTTATATCGTTGGTAAGGCGGAAATAGTGAGAAACCGTTGCTAAGGTGAAATTAAGCGTGAAAACTACGTAATTTAAAGTTAATTAAATTTCACGTAAAGTGTAAACCTAATATTTTAAAGATAATTAAATATTACGTAAAGATTCGAGCGATTTCAGGCGTTACATCGAAACAGAAAATAGGCGAAGTGAATTGTGAACTTCTAGGCATAGCGAGCGACGCGTAATTTGACGTCTGGGGTTCGATGTCTCGTGTACCGTGGAGAGGTCCATGGAGATTTTTTGTGGGTGCAGGTAGCATTATGGAGAGTGTTACCTTGGGACACGGGGAGCGTGTCCCGTTGGTGGGGGTGTGTGGCGCCGGGAGTAGTGCATGGTTGTGTATTGGTGTTTGGACGCCAAGTGTAGTGCATGGTTGTGTATTGGTGTTTGGACACCAAGTGTAGTGCATGGTTGTGTATTGGTGTTTGTACGCCAAGTGTAGTGCATGGTTGTGTATTGGCGATTGTACGCCGGGGTGTGTAGTGTAATGCATGTGGTGTGTAGTGTAATGCATGTGTAGTGGCTTATTAGACGCCAGCGTAATGCATAGTAATTACCGTAGAGTAATGTGCATGTTTTGACTGTTGATATTATGGATGTAGTATAGTGCATGACATTGTTGGCATTGTAGCGCCAAGGTGTAGCATGAGTAGCATAACTAGTTGTTGTAACACTGGGTGTATTGTAGACATTAGCGTTGAAGTCTGTTAACGCTGGTGGTAGTGTGTGGCGGGTGGCCACTACACAAGATATTATACCTGACGACTGTGGGTCAGGTAATTAACGGATTACCAGAGAAAGGGACAGTGTGTGTTGCGTTTGGTGATGTCTCGTGGTGTTTTGATGCGCTCTGGCGCAAGGCATATGCCTGTGGTGGTGATGGTGTTGAGGGCGTTGGAGACGCCGTGTGTGGTGTTGAGGGCGTTGGGGACGCCGGGTGTTGTGTTGAGGGCGTTGGGACGCCGGGTGTTGTGTTGAGGGCGTTGGGGACGCCGGGTGTTGTGTTGAGGGCGTTGGGACGCCGGGTGTTGTGTTGAGGGCGTTGGGGACGCCGTGTGTTGTGTTGATGGCGTTGGGGACGCCGTGTGTTGTGTTGAGGGCGTTGGGGACGCCGTGTGTTGTGTTGAGGGCGTTGGGGACGCCGTGTGTTGTGTTGAGGGCGTTGGGAACGCCGTGTGTTGTGTTGAGGGCGTTGGGGACGCCGTGTGTTGTGTTGAAGGCGTTGGGGATGCTGTGTGTTGTGTTGAGGACGTTGGAGGATGCCGTGTGTGATGTTGAGGGCGTTGGGGACGCCATTGGGTGGTGTAGTGTAGTGGCGTTTGGACGCCTGGTATGGAGTGTGGTGTGTGTATGAGTACACGGTGGTAGTATCGGTTGCTGGGCTTACTATGAGCTATGGGAAGGGAAAGCTCGCAGCCTGCTAACAGGAGTCAGCAGTCGTCTGCTCCTGTACCCTCCTGTGTGTAAAACTAGTAGGGTAAGGCTTACCATGCGCTAGGGGTAGGGAAAGCACTCGGCCTGCTAAGAGGATTCAGAGTTCTCACCCTAGGTAGGACAGAAATGGTTTGGCATGTTTCCTTTCACCCAATGCCTTTGTTCACCTAGCAGTAAATTGGTATTTGGGAGTTAGGCAACAGTTGTGGGTTGCATCCTGGGCATGTCAGGTACAGTAGTTAGAGCTATGGGGCACTTTGATACAAGTCTAGCACAGGCTTCCTGTCCCTATCATTGTGAATGATTATTATATTCTCAAGTGATGTGATATAATTTTCTAAATTACCATTTTGGATTGCTTGTGGGTTCATTTTTTACAGGGTAGACATGTTCATCCCAGGCATGGAGACAGTGGGAGGCTTTTCCATGTACTCGTGCCCAACGCACCTAGCCGAGACACGGACCTTACAGCTTGGTATAAAGTTCTCACGGTGGCCTCCTGCATATTGGGTGCATGATCAGGTAAGTTTATCTGAATTGTACAGTACAGTATTATCCAGTACAGTACAACTGTACTGCACTTAGAAGGCAGCCAAAAAGTCACAATAATGAAGCCGAAAATCAGACACCCAACGCATTTTGGTCTGTCCTGGACCATTACAGGACTTGATAATGTTCCATGACAGACTGAAATTTAGATTTGTGGATTAGGTATCCATTTGGAAATGATATGAGCACAAGGGGCTGGAATAGGTTAGCAGGAAGGAATGGTTAGGCGCCATTTCTTCCTGCCATCCTATCCCAGTTCTTTGTTCTCATATTCCTTCAAAAGTGTTATATAGTTGTACTGGCTTAGCATTTTCTCTTCATAATTAATTATCTTACTTTGCTCAAAATGTTCATGTGTCGTTTGCAAATAATGCTGGTTCCCTGAACTCCTCATGTGCATATACACTACCAACTGGCCATGATGGGCTAAAAGTATCTCGACCAGAAGTACTACAGTACTTGCATGGTGTGTTTGCCTGAGGAGTTCAGGGGCAAGAGTTCATTTCTTTGTATGGCATCAGCATTTATTCATAGTCCTGTGATTTCATTGTGCAACATACTGTAGTAGTAATTATTTAAACTACTGTACCTATAATTGTAATTAATTGATAGTACTGTATACATACTGCAATAATGAATAATGTAAATTAAAGAAATGAAAGGATTTCAGTGGATATTAAATGTTGATGTCATGTTACAGTGCAAAATAGGCTGTGAAGTTGCAATACGTGCTGGGGGCGACTTCTATTATGCTCCTGAGAGTGGTGACACCTCGTACGACCTTCTGCTAGTGGGCGGCGGTGTCGGCATAAATCCTCTTGCATCCATGTTCCTCCATGCCATTAGCTTGCACCGTATTCATGAAGAAAATAAAGAAGAATATCGTCCGGGAAGAATTCTACTGCTATATTCGGCAAAGACATATGAGGAATTACTCTATAAAGTATGAACAAGATATATTATTTTGATTGATAAACTAATAGGACTAGTGTGTGTAATGTATAGGACAGTAGGTCATAACATAGGTGTAATAGGTGTAACAGAGAGCGCGAAAGTGTTAACACTTTCGCGCTCTCTGCAAAGGTCACTCAGCCAACCGAATGTGCGCGCTGCGTTTTTATCGCTTAAGCGTAAAAACAAAAATGTGTATACTCTTTTTACTCTTCTGACCTTAGTTCTCATGCTACGTATTTCATTTTGGTACCAACGTGTTCGCAATAAAATTCTCTAGAAGAACATCAGTAAAAAAAAGTCACGAAACGTATAGGGATACCAGCACCAAATAAATAACTACGAAGATGACTCGCCGTGAGCGCCCATCAGCAACAAAATGTTTTTACTCTTGGGATTGTAATCACCTCCACACTTGTTCTACAGCGTTAATTTTGGTATCAATGGACTCGCAATGAAATTCCCAACACGGTGATATGAATATAAGCGTAGAATAATGATGCGGCCCGCCCGCAAGAGTGTGGGAAGTGGTGAAATTGTTACCCGGTATCGGTGACGGGACGACGCACGGCGCTTTGAAAGTTTATACTTATTTCACTCTCATGACATTAATTTTGTATGTACGTCATTCATTTTTGTGTCAATGTGTTCGCAATAGAATGTTCTATGTGCCCATAGGTAAAAAATATCAACAAAGCGTAAGTTAGAATGGCGCCAAATATAAAACAACGCTGGAACATATCAGTGAGCGTCAAACACACACGAAATGTTTTTACTTTTGTTATGTTTGTCAAGTTTATACTTGTTGCACACAGTTATTTTTGGTTGTATATTGATCGGAATCAAATTCCCTAAACAGACATATGCATATAATACATGATATGGGGGAAGCATTACCAGTATAAACGGCTAAAGTCACCCACCTGCAACCCGTTTGGGACAAAATACCATTTGATCGAAGTTATCCACACCTTTCATGAACTTATTGTACCATGCAGCCTAGTGGTGAGAAAGAGAGCCTCATAGCGCGCAGTTTGAAACAAACCCAAAGTAAATCGGATAAAAATTGAATTTTATACAAATATTTTAAAAGAGGACTCAACTTTATGTCCACTATGCGTTAGCGTTAGACGAAACGGGACGCGCCGATGCGTCCGGATAGCGCGAAAGTGTTAAATTAATAGGATTTGTGTGTATGTAATGTACAAGCTGTCAGTAGGTTACACTGTTAGTACTACAAAACAATGCATGTATTTTCTCAGTGTGTGTAATGTTGTAAATAATTTAGGGGTGACTTGAGCCCAGTGATTGTAGTATTCTTAGCTACACATCTTACTCCCTGTACCACATAGTTTCAGTAGAAGCCTCCAGACTTCCTGTGGATTCAGTGAAATCGCATGTTGTATAACTTGTACCATGTCGTAGTACAGGGGTAAGGTGTGCAGCTGGGAGTACCTTGATTGCTGGTGCGAGTCGCCTCATTGCTAAAGTAGATTTTCTCATTGATGATATTATTATTATTGTATTACAGACGTTATTAGACACCATTTCGGCAAGAACTCCGGAGTGTGAGGTTCGTTACTTTACAACAAGAAAACCTCCACCGGAATCATCTTTTGTTACATGTGAGTTATTTTATTTTTTGTTCCTCTTGTCATTATTGCACGATTTGTGTGGAAACCACTTTTGCTGGGAATGTTCTTGATTGCTGCACTCGTTCTGTTTTACATATGATTGTACAGTTCTGTTCTTATTGGTTCATATTATCTTTATTAACCTGAAGATCGTGTATGTAATCTGCAGGCTTCACTTCTGTTTAACAGCACCAGTGTTACAAAAAATTACTTTAATTCAACTTTGATATTTAAAGTTTTGCAGTTATGTTATATTAGTGATAATGACAATTCATTGGCTGTTATATTTTTGTGCACAGCATAGATATAAAAAGTTAAGATTAGTTCAGTGGTAAAGGAAGCATCTCCTGCTATACAATAGCCAACCAGTTTTTCTGAACTGGTTGGGACCGAACTTGGTTGAAAACCCATACACACACACACAATTTTTCAATCACCATAATTCTTTACATGTTAATCAAATACAGTGGAACCTCGGATAATGAATTTATTCCGTTCTGGCGCCGTGCTCGTCATGTGAAATGCTCGTTTTTCAAAACGAACTTCTCCATTTAACATATTGGAAATAAAAATAATCAATTCCACCGCCAAAAAACATCAATATGATATTCGATTTTTTAAATAATGTAGCATCCTACCTGACATACACTGAACGAACCGTTGACATTTGTCCGTTTTTCAAATTTGTTCTATTTTTTTTTTTTTTTTTTTATAGCAAAAGGTTCGTTCGGTGTTTGCCAGGTAGACTGCTCCATGTTTCTTTAAAAAAATAAAAAAAAAAATAAAATTTAAATAAATTTGAAAAACGGACAAATGTCATAAAGGTTCGTTTGGTGTTTGTTAGGTAGGATGCTCCATTATGACAATTTTTTTATTTTTTTTTCAAATGTGTTCAATTTGTTTTGTATTTTTTCATTTATTTATTAATAATGGAGCCGCCTACCTGACAAACACTGAACAAACCTTTATGACATTTGTCCGTTTTTCAAATTTATTCAATTTTTTTAGTTTATTTTTTTCAAGAAACATGGAGCAGCCTACCTGACAAACACAGAATGAACCTTTTTGATATTTATTCTTTTTTCAAATTTTTTCATTTTTTTTATTCTACAAAAACAAGTCAGTGCTTTGCAACATCACAGCAGTCACCCTTTTAAATCCCAGCATCATTAGCATCTTTAAACAAAACGAAAATTTTATTTGCATCGTCGGAGACATCCGAGAATGTGCGAGAAGCAGCAGGAACGCACCATGTGGTTTTCTTGTTAATCAAACGAGCTCTTGCCAATTAAGGCAAATTGTCGGCGATCGGCGCGCTCGTTATTCAAAATGCTCGTAAATTGAGGCGCTCGTCACTCAAGGTTCCACTGTAATATAGGTCCCCTCTTCCCCCTCAGGCCAACTGCTGACCTTACCCAGTATGCAACCCACAACAGTTGCCTAACTCCTGCATACCTATTTTACTGTTAGCGAACAGGTGAAAGGAAACGTGCCCAACTATTTCTGTCCTGCACTGGGATTGAAGCTGGGTCCCTCGGTTGTGAAATGATGCCATTGACCAATGTGCTGTCTCGGTGAGTGGTGGTGTTGGAGGGAGGGCCAAGATGTAGTGTGTCCAAGGTTGCTAACAGGAGAAACACTTTACGCTTTACAGCTCTCTTGGCAGTCCTTGCAAAGGTCTCCCTTAAGTGCTAATTCAGTTGTATCAACTTGAACTTGCAATGTTCAGTTGATGAATACAGCATTTGGTTCATGAACAAAAGTTGAACTCTCATTATTCATTCTTGGTTCACCAAATCTATACTTGTATGTAGTATTTATTATTAAAGTTTATAATTATTCTTCAAACAGATGGCCACATAACGCAAGAAGTTTTGAAGGCTGCCGTTGAATCTTTGGATACGTCGTCATTGAAAACATTCATCTGTGGACCGCCGCCTATGATTGAAAACATAAATGAACATCTTTTAGCATGTGGTTTGTTGCCAAATCAAATATTTTATGAGAAATGGTGGTAAATTATATCATGTTTTTATTTAAAGTTAGAAAATATTATTTTATTTTATTTTTCAATATGCAATCATTGACCCAATATCTTGCATTCTTTAAGTCCTTTTTCCGTTTTTAGCCCAACCACATGGGCTGGGCGATAGTGACATTCTCACTTCATGCAGGTCGGTGTTCAATCCCCGACCGTCCAAGTGGTTAAGCACCATTCCTTCCCCCCATCCCATCCCAAATCCTTATCTTGACCCTTTCCAAGTGCTATACAGTATAGTCATAATGGCTTGACACTTTTTCCAGATAATTCCTCCCTTCCTTTTTCTGTTTTTTAAGACCTTGAAGGGTCCTAAGTATGACAGATTTGCAGTTGAAGGCAATTAAAGTCTTAAATTTCCTCAGTTGAGTACTAAAGAAACTATAGTTGTTGAGGCTCCCTTAGGGTGTAACAGTGTAAGTGTATTAAACTATTCCATGTTATAATTGTGAGTTGTGAATAGTAATGTGTAGTTGTGTGTGTGCATGTTAATTAGAAAGGGAGGTGGTTCTTGTGGCGAGGCGCTGGCTGGCACCTGCTGCTGGTCAGCAGTACTCTTAACAACGGAGCCTTGTACTGGCTGGCCAACGTGGGTCTCTAAGAATCAGTTTAGCGTGTCCTACTCCTTATATGGCCTTATATTCACCCATTTTTAATTATGTAATTCGGTGTTAATATAGTAAATTGGCAAAATGTTCAGAAGTGTAGAACTAGTGTTTAACTGACTGAAAAGGGAAGTAATTTTAGAGAATTAAAACCCAAGGTGTAAAATAACAATCTAGAGTTTTCATAATACCTTTTTTTTTTATAGATTCGGTAGAATACATTAGCATTAGTGAGGTGAGTGGAGGTGCGGCGAGAAGGGCGCCGGGTACTGCCCTCACCTCACCCAGCAGCTGTGCCTGCTGGTCACTCAGGACTTCTCCATCACCCCTTCCTCACTTATTTCTTCCTTACTCTGCTTTAATTCTCACCACTAGGAGATGTAGAATGGTAGAGTGGCTAGAACACATAGTCATGTTACAAGGGTAACAACTGACCATCCCCAGGATGTAACCCACAAGTTGCCTAACTCCCAGATACTCTACCTGTTTACTGCTTGGCAAACAGAACCATCTGGTGCAAGCCCCCCCCCATTCCCCCCCCTCCTCCCCACCCAGACCAACAACTGACATTCATCAGGATGCAACCCACAACAGTCACCTAATTCAGAGGTACTGTACTGAAGTGCTTAACAAACACCGGCACCAGATGTAAGGATGCATGTCTAAACATCCTGGAGATTAAACTCTGGTCCAATTGGTTATAAGCCTACTGCATTAACTACTGAATTTACTCTTAATAAATCAGGTGTGAGCCAAGCCCGGCAATAAAATAGAAAGCACACAATATCCATTTATAAATACAGAAAAGTAACAGTTATACACACCAAAGATAATGTTGGTGTTGTACGATAATACTTGACATTTGTTGTGATGTTACTTGTTGTAAATTCATGCAGTTGGTCCACTGGAGTCATTTTGAGCTTCAAGTGAAGAGTTCAAGTTAAACCAGGAGCAGGAGATTATTTACGTGGAGATCAGTGGCAAATGTACCAGGTTTTCACCATACTGTACTAAAATTAAAATTTATATGAAGTGTAAACCCCAATTTAAGTATAGTATTGATTTCATCTTTATTCCCATTGTTATTTCTTCCTTCACATACTCTTTCACGTAGCTTTACTAAATACCATATTTGCCAACTGATGGGATGCATTAGGCCATGTCAGGGAGGGTGTTACTGCAGCACCATTTAATGTCAAATGTATCTAAATATATTTTTTAAGCCAACCCAGTTCCTTCCTAAAGCTTTTTTTTATATCAGTTTCCATACTAACATAACATTGAAAGAACTTAATATTGTTTTTTAAAATATCAGTTGGTCTTCCTGGCTTGGCACTTTCTTTTGATAGTTTCAAATACTGTAATATGTATTTTTCATACATATAGCTGTCATACTCACTATGTGTAATAAGCACACAATACTTTTAAGGATTCCACTCTTCATCTTTTTAATAAGCTCTTATTTAATATTTAATAGTGAACACTCTAATACATGTTTTGTTTTCAGTAGCCAGTAGAAGCCTAGAATGATTTGGGTGGATATAAATATGAGCTGCCTCATATAGACCAATAAACCTTCTGTAATATGATTTATTCTTATGTTTCTACTTTTTTTGGCCCCCCTCCCCGCTCAGCTCGTTGTCGCCGTGTGGGGGCTTAGTGGGCGGCTGCCGGAGTGTGATGCTCCTTGGGACAGTCCTCTGTCCTTTTCTAGCCTTGTGCTCCTGCTGCCGTCCTCTCCAATTCTGCTGGGCATCTTTTCCTTTTCCTTCTGTTTCGTTTTTCTCCCCCCTCTTCTCCTATCTGCTTGCCGTTTCCTGCCGACCTTTTGCTCGTTCTGGTTCTTCCCTTGGACTTCTTCTATTTTGACGCCCGGGTGCTTGAGGAGGCATACTCATGCACCCGTAGAACTGCAGTACCCGACGTCGAGAGCGAGGGGAACCTTTTATTGTCAATCCCCACTTCGTCACTGAACCCGATCTCGACGGACTGTCGGTTTCTTAAGGTGGCGTTTGTGGGGCGTATACTCGCGACGCACCCCTAGGAGGCCCCGACAAGATCGGCGATAGCTTCTTGTTGGGTGTCCTGCCTCTAATTGTGGCTCCATGGTGGGTGTGGGGGCACATTCGTGAGTGAATTCTTCTTTCGTCAAGATGATTACCCCTGCTTCGGCTTCTTCTGGTTTACCTTCTCAGGCTCGTGGGGTGGGCGACCAGGCCCCCGAGTCGGTCCGTATTGGAAGACCGGGCTCTGTAGCCTCCGCTGCATTGGGCCCCGACCTTGCTCCTCCTTTGGCCTCTCTGACTCCTTCCTCTGGCTCCCCTCCCTCCTCTGTGGTTGGGTCGAGCCCCAAGCCCCCAGTGGTGACTACCTCGTCCCCTGGTGCGGCTCCTTCTCTAGTTGTAACTACTGCGCCTTTTAACCCCTCTCTCTCTGGGGGTTCTCACCGCCGTCCTCGTCACGGCCGCCCTCGCTCGATTCCTTCCAGTTCTGCTACCTATCAAGCCTTGTTTGGTCCCGCTTCATGGGCCAAATATTTTGATCTCAAGCTTTGATTCTGATTCTGACCCTCTTGATTCTGCGCCTCCTGACGATTTCTCCCTCCATCGACATCTCATTGATTCCGTGGATGCCTCCATTACTTTCAACCCCACTCGTCTCGGTACACGTGTCGTTGCTGCTCCTTCTCAGGATGCTGCTTCCCGCTTGGCTGCCTTATCCTGCCTTGGCGAGACCCCCGTTCGGGTCTCGAAGAACGCTCAGTTGAATGCCAGTGTTGGCACTATTTTGCTCCCGCCCCATGTTGTGACCGGTGTTCGGGACCTGCGCGACTGCCACGACGATATTCGACATATCCTCGCTGCCCAGGGCCATTCTATTCTCCAGGTGGACACGTTTACTCGTCCCACTCGTGGTAGTCGCCGTCAACCCCTCCGGGTTGTGAAGATTACCTTTGATGGTAGGACCCTTCCACCCTCTGTCATTCTTGCTGGTGCCAGGTGCTCTGTCCAGGAGTACATTCCTTCTCCTCGGCTCTGCAACAAGTGCTGGAGGTTTGGGCATGGTGCCCTCCGCTGCTCCGGGGCTGTCTCTCTCTGTCCTTTGTGTGGTGGCGAAGGTCACTCTAAGTCGGAGTGCGCTTCTCCCCAGGCTCGTTGCCTCAACTGCGGTGAGGCCCATCCTACCTTCTCCCGTGCGTGTGTCCATTACAAGCTTGAGGCAGCCGTCCTCAACTTGAAGCACCGGGAGCGTTTATCTTTTCCTGAGGCGAGGCGCCAGGTTCGCCGGCTCCCGCCTTATGCTAATATCTCTCATGCTCGCGTGTTGCGCTCTTCCTCTCCTCGTCCTTCCCGCCTTCCTCAGACTCACAGCCGTTTCCGGGCCTTGGACCCTGATGCGCCCACTGCCCCCTCCTCTGTCCCTTTGGGTTCTCTCCCGAAGGATCCTCCTCCTGGTCCTCTGTCTGGGGTTCCCCTTCCTTCTACCCGGTCTGTCGTGTCTTCTGTGTCTTCTTCCTCGTCCCCCTCCGATCCTCCTTCCCATCCTCTTCCTCCATCTATCGGCTCTCCCCACCGCCTGTTGGTGCGGGCGGATGTCCATCGCTCTCCTAACGGCCGTCGTGTGTGCTCTCGTTCGGCTTCTCCTGTTGAGACACTGGAATCCGTTGCCCGGTACGTAGTTGCTGGGACACCGGTCTCTTTAAGTCAGAAGCGTAAGCCTGGCTCCTCTCCTTCCTCTTCCCCGGCGGGTAAGAAGGCTTCGCTTTCTTCCTCAGCTCCTCCTTCTGGCTCTGTTGCTCCTTCCCCTCCCGTTTCAGTGCTTGCGCCCCCTGTTCCTGCTATGGAGGTTTCTTTGGCCCCTGCTTCCCTTTCGGTTGCTGCTCTTGCTGGGGTGCGCTCCCCTCTTTCTACTCCCCCTCTTCCTGCTGCTGTCCTTGACTGCTCCTCTCCGTTGTCTCCTCCTCCTCCTCCTCCTCTGGACCCTGCCCGCCCACCTCTGATCTGTTCTCCCGTTTCCTTCCCTCCGTCTTTGCTCAGTTTACCCATGCCCCCTAACCCTGACTTTGCTGACCCTGATCCCGACCCTGATATTCTTTAACGTGCTCTGTTGGTCTTTCGCCTTTGTTTCTTCCTTGTTCTCTGTTTTTGTCCTTTCTCTTCTCGTCGTTGTCCATTCTTCAATGGAACGTTCGAGGTTATTACGCCAATTTCCTCGAACTCCAACTTCTGGTTTCGCGGTTTTCGCCCCTTTGTGTCTGTCTCCAGGAGCCAATGCTTGGTGCTCGTCCTGGTCGTTTTCGTGGCTATTCCTTTCTCTCCCCCCCCCCAGCCATT